TATCTTTGTGAATATCACTTCCTGGTATACTGATCTTGGCTTTTCCCTGGTTATTCCGAATTCTGGTTCCCCTGACTTGGCTTGTTTAAACGGTATCTGAGTATTTCTGGCTTCCTTGACCTCGGCTTTCCCTTTGACCATTCTCTATCTCTAGCGTATTAGTCCGGCCATTCTACGGTCCGGTTTACGCTTTGTCCTTTTATTTCCTTTCCTTTTGTATGTATATGTTTACATAGTTTCTGCGTGTTGGACCACACTAGCAGCCATGACACAAGTAGAGTCATATCTGGTGGTCCCAGTGGTTGCTGGCCTTGTTCACATTCATTTTGTTGGCTTTTTTTTACCTTCTTAAGGGTTTAAGGGTGTCAGACAACCATAGACGGATTGTGCAGGGTGTGCCTGGCCACACCCTAATGATATCAAGCCTCAAAATTGAGGCTCCGTGCTGCACTGCTGCTATCAGGCTGCAGCTCCAGGCGGCACTGTGACAGGAGCTGTCATTAAGTGTTCTTACATAGCAAGACCACTTAATGTTATCTCACATATATATTATTAAGTGTTCTTGCATAGCAAGAACACTTATTGTTATCTCACATATATATTATTATTCTTATTAAGTGTTCTTGCATAGCAAGACCACTTATTGTTATCTCACATATATATTATTATTAAGTGTTCTTGCATAGCAAGACCACTTATTGTTATCTCACATATATATTATTAAGTGTTCTTGCATAGCAAGACCACTTATTGTTATCTCACATATATATTATTATTCTTATTATAACCAAATTTGCCACCCTAACTCCTCCCACAGTTTCTACACTACATAGACAAAAATTTACCAAAACGTGCAGATTGTTCCCGATCGGATTGCTATTACTTTGTGGAACGTTTCGCCGGTCTGGGTCTTGTGATTCTCACAATATAAAGCTCTTCGCTGTAGGATGTATAGTTTTTAAAATACGACCGTTTGAAGATGGCAACCGCCAAAATACTCTGACCTGGGTCAGGCTGCAGCAGCAAGTGATGTCATAGACAGGGCCTTTTGAACACCTGCTAATGTTTTTATAAATGTATGGTTTAATGTAACTGTGCAACATTGTTGCAATCAAATGTGCTATATAAATGATAACAGTTAATCCGCCCACTCCAGTTGTAGACTACTGGTGCAGGCAAGAACACTTCACACAATTTCCCCAGAAATTGTAGCTTTTCTAGTTCTTATTCTTATTCTTATTATAGCCAAATTTGCCACCCTAACTCCTCCCACAGTTTTTACACTACATAGACAAAAATTTACCAAAACGTGCACATTGTTCCCGATCGGATTGCTATTACTTTGTGGAACGTTTCGCCGAATGGTTCACGGAATATCGTCGTTCTTGTGGCGAAATTTGTTCCATAGGAATGAATGGCAAAGCTAGAGTGGGAGCTGGCAAAAACTGAAAAATCAGGACATGATTTCTAAACTGCCACCACTCCCTTATTTTCAGGCCCACCTACACAAATCTTATATCAAAACGTTCAGCTATCCCTGCTGCCACTAAACATGTCAGCGGCTAAGCCATAGTCCTGATAGTTTTCACAATATAATCATTTGTTTGCAACTAACGCCGTCCATTGACATTCATTGAAACTTCACTCTGCAAAGCTCAAATTTGAAGTGCAATTTCTAAACTGCGACTGTGCCTTCAATTTTAATACTTCAGAGACATACTATGCATCACAATGTAGGTCTGGGTCTTGTGATTCTCACAATATAAAGCTCTTCGCTGTAGGAGTTATAGTTTTTAAGATACGACCGTTTGAAGATGGCAACCACCAAAATACTCTGACCTGTGCCAGGCTGCAGCAGCAAGTGATGTCATAGACAGGACCTTTTGAACACCTGCTAATGTTTTTATATGGTTTAATGTAACTGTGCAACATCGTTGCAATTAAATGTGCTATATAAATGATAAGTTACTCCGCCCACTCCAGTTGTAGACTACTGGTGGAGGCAAGAACACTCCCCAGAAATTGTAGCTTTTCTAGTTATTTAATGTAATATCAATTTGGGGAAAGTCTTTCCCCCCATCATCCCTTCCGTCAGGGCGAGCTGTGAGGACTCCTAAAATGTTAAAAAAATCAGAGCTGTCAGGAGATGCAGGGAGACCTGTGCTGGCTAGGCCTTCTGTCATATAAATGTTCCGCACTGCGAACAAGAACTTCACTGCTCACTTTGCGGCAGGGCTGCGCCTGTTGCTGTGAGCTGGCCTGAGGTAGGAGCGGAAGGACATTGAGCCCTCTGATACAGGAGCCGGCAGAGAGGAGTCAGCAGCGGTGGGGACGTGAGGAGGGGAGCTGCGGGTACAAAGGTAAGTGCCTGTGTGTCTGCCACCTTTTCTCCCCAACTCCTTCCTAGTCTGACATGTATGCTTGGCAAACTATCTCCTACACTCCCCAATTCCTCTCCAAATTGCAATCTAAACATCCTAATTCCCCCAAAACCTGTCACACAACTTCCCTAATCTTTGTCCATCTTGAAAATTTACCATTAATGACAACACATTTTACTCTATCCTTAAGCCAACGTTCTACCAAAGAACAAGAATATTCATCTAGACCAATTTATTTTAGTTTGAAGACTAGCCTATTGTGAGGAACCGTATCAAATGCCTTGGCAAAATCCACTGTAACACCCTGATCTATAGTTCTACTTACTTCTTTGTAGAATGCAAAAGGTTAGTTTGACATGACCTATGTTTCATAAAGCCATGCTGATTATTGCTAAAAACAAAGGATTCCTGAATATTGTCCCTTAATAGCTCTTCAAATATTTTCCTTGTCACAGAAGTTAAGCTCACAGGTCTATAATTTCCAGGCAAGGATTTTGAACTCTTTTTAAATATAGGAACAACATCTGCCTTTCTCAAATCCTCCAGTTCAATACCTGAAACAAAAGGATCTTGAAAGATTAAATGCAGAGGTTCACTTATTTCCCCACTTAGCTCCTTAAGTACTCGTGGCTGAATATCGTCAGGCCCTGGAGCTGTATTTACATTAATTTTCTTTAACTGCTGTAGCACCTTGTCTCGAGTCATCCAATCACAAGTTATCTGCAAGTTTTTTGCAGCAATCATTTGCATATCTCTTGCTATAGGATCATCTTTAATATATACTAAAGAAAAATTGCTATTTACAATTTCTGCCCTTTCCTGGTCTTCATTAACTAACAGACCCATCTCTGTTTCCAGTGTACCTACACTTTCATTTTTTTTAATTTATTTTTTTATAGAATTCATGTACATGCACAGTAGGATATGATCTACTGGATACACCACTTGATGTTAAAAGATACAAATGCCTGAATTTTAAGCAAAAAATATGATCTAGGAGTGTGGAATATCACAATACCAAAAGACATAATAGTTTAACCAAGTGCAGCTATTGTGTAGCAGCTGCTGTAGCCCCAACAGCAAGCAAAATATAGCAATCCAACGTATTCATCCACAAAGCGCAGCTTAGTTATAGGGGCCAACTAGTGCAGCCCAAATGTATTCAAACAGCATCCAAAGTACAGACGTTTCGGGACCCCTGTCCTTTTATCAATGATACATGCCCTACTTGTGCCTGAATCTCAGGCAGGCATGCTTGTGAAAGCATCTGCCCCTCTGTACTACAGGCATAGTTGGTCTATTGGATAATACAGCCCTGCATATATCTAAACCCTTTTGTTATTTTTACAATCCCAATAAAAAGACCACACTTATTCGGTTTATAGTGTCAACACTAAAAATAGCATAAGAAATTGGCATACAAATATTTTAATTTGACTCTTGACAGGCTTTTTTTTCTTTTGGTCTGGTATGCTTTCTGCTCTACCCTGATAAAAAAGCGTTATTTAAAAGCACTTTTTTCAGAACACATATCAGGCAGTAGGCCAATAGGAAATGTATTCTTCAACAGCAGTTTAAAAGATGCACCGTAGCTTATCCAAAGCAGACTTACACATTCAGAGGGTTATTCACTGAAGTGAGAATTGAGTGTGAATTTCAAATTCAAGGTGCCAAATTGGAAAATGTCTAGTATGCTTACAGTTTGGCGCCTTTGGGCTTAAATTTGAATACTTTTAATCCTCACCTTAATGAATAACCCTGATAGATGGTCGCTGAAAGGCATTTTCCTGTGCAAGAAAAACACAATATGTGTGTACACAAACCAAAAAGTGCAATTAGTACCAAATAACATGTAAGCAGACAAAAACTTCCCTGTACAAGGTGAAGCTTTCAATGGTATCCCCAAAGACTTCCTCCTTTCTTCCATGGTATATATGCTAAAATAGGGGATGATCTGCTAAACCAATAACAAACAAGGAAACATAGCGTATAACTGTGTATATGAATTAATCACAAGTGCTGTATTTACAAATGGCCATTCACACATTCACTGAAGTAAAAATGCCTTAAGGATAAATTCCTTCCAAGGATTCAATCTTCAGCCTGTATTCAAATCACCGTGGGTTGGCTGGAGTATATGTACTCTAGAGAGAAAAAATAAAATTATAGTGCACAAACTAGTATGTAATAAAAAAAAAAAAAATTTAATTACTTACATCAAGGTTAAAAACAACGGGTGTAGTATCTGAGTCACCACCAGGGATCCTACGCATTTCGTCCATCTGCAGGACTTCCTCAGGGACTTTGGCAGTGTGCAGTAACAATTTCAAATGAATAATAATAAAAACCCTTTCCCTCCCCAGTCCTTTATACCTCCCCCAATGTCCACAAAGTCCAATAATCTTTTGCAGGTGTTCTGGTTTTTTTCCGAGCGATATGACGTCATCACGCACGCCGCCCAATGACGTATGCATTCCACGGCCGAAATCCGGAAGTAACTGGGACTGATTGCTTGTCTGATCTTCTTTTCACAACATACTTCAATCAATGTGGAAAGATGCATTTATAACGAATGGGGGACAAAGAACAGATGGAGGGAGGGGTGTTAGATGACTCTAAATGGCACTACTATACAAAGAATATGTAAAAGGATATATACATAAGGTATATATAAAAAATATATACATAAAAAAAATATATAAAGATATTTAAGTAAAAAAAAGGAAGAAAAGAAAAAAGAATGAAGTAAAATAAAAATGAAAATAAAATAAAAAAGAAATAATAAAAATAATGAAAAATAGAAAATAAAAAATATAATAGTGGAAAATAACAATATTTATAAATAAAATTAAAAATAAAAAGTATATATAAATAAATAAAAGAACAATAAAATGTTTTTTTGAGTACAATATATTCCCACATTTTTTAAAGTGAACAGAAGTGCTATACCGACTATTGCACTCTTCCAAACTAATAATTGATGGGATTTAAATAATTTGAATAATGCCCCTATAGAAGGGGGATTTTTCCCATAATAAGAGAAAGGAAATCTCTTTATGCAAGAAAGAATCCTCAAGAAAAGGATATATAGCAGAGGCTTAAATTGAAGAAAAACGTTTTCTTATATGATTTTTGGAAATATATATCCAAGAAATAATTATAGTATCTATTTCTGAAAGAATAGGAAAAGTGCAATATTTACATAAAAGTGCAAATACAATCTTAATCTTCCAGAAAACACCATAAGTCTATGTCTAAATTGAGTCCACATGGTTGTAACGTTTTTAATTTATTTATCCAAAAGGTTTACCTTTGTGAAAGTTTTTTAATTAAATTACCTCCTCTCCAATGGGGGTTAACATGCTCAATGCAAAATCTTGCCAGTTGAAATTATTACAGTGAATTGGTATTATTTTAGTTTAGTGGAAATTTTTCTAATATTATTTTGACGTTCTAGATTCTTTTCTTTCATTTCCTACAAGTCCTCCCCACATATTGTTTCCCACATGGGCATTGTAGTATATAAACAACATGTACAATTTACAATTTATATTATAAATGTATTTTTCAAATGTTTAGCCTGTTCTTGATGATCTGAATTTTTAGTGCAATTTCGTCTTATTCTTGTTAGTTGGCCTTTTGGGATGGTTTCCAACCATTTTTCATGGTGGCAGCTTTTTCTGTGTATATAGCTATTGCCTTCAGTTTTTTTTTTTTTTTTTTCAAAACATTTTTTGATTGTATAGTTTGGTTTTCAACATAGAAGAAAACATCTAGAAAATCAATTGTTTTTGAATCAATCGCATAGGTAAATTTTAGACCATAATCATTCCTATTGATTTAGGAAGAGATGTAATTCATCCTGTGGTTCTCACCAAATCATTAAAATGTTTCCAGAGGACCAGGTTCGCTGCCCAGCCATGCCCTCTCCATAACTATTTTCTTTTTGATAGTTATTTTTATCTTCAGACTACCGGTACAGCAATGGGTATCAGGTTCGCCCCCAGCTATGCCAACATCTATATGCGAGATTGGGAATCTAACCACATATGGAGGGGGCATGGCTGCGCAGCGATCCTGGTCCTCTGGAAATGTTTTATTGACAATGTTTTTTATTGGCAATTGTTTTCCACTGAAAAAGTTTGACACCCATCTTTGAACTTTTTCTGTGTGCTGCAAATCATCAGGACTTGTAACTGCTGCAATAAATCATATCCCTAACAGAAAGAAGTTATAAAGTTTTCAGCCACCTTGGTATGCACTTTTTACACCAAGTGTTACAAGATTCTGGACAAAGAGGAAAACCTGGGGAAGAAAGCGGGTGAAAGAGTTTAAGTCCGATACAGCGGCACTGCAAAGATTTTTAATATGGTTGTCATTTATAATTAGAACTCTATCACCCTCTCTACAATTAATTAACAAAATATCATTTTTCTGTGTCACAATTGTGTTTCCTTAAAAAGTAGACATAGACTTTAGTATTATTAGTAACTACCTCAAAAATATACTGCTCATTAACTTTGACATATGACTGCTGCCAATTTGTTTTTTTTAATGGAAAGTAGCCCAGACCTATATCTAAATTTCATAGTGCTAAAGATATCTGTTTGAATGTCCATTCGGAATGAATGGTATGAAGAAGGCGCACAGTGACAAAAATGTTGTCTTTACAACCTTGAGATACATGTATGCTATATTCTAATTTGCCTCTTGTTTTCCAGCAATTTCCTTCACAGATAGTGGGATTTGTGCCACGGAAACATACCTCCTCATCCACTGGAATATATAGCTATGGGAGCTTTGAGTTGCAGGCATCACAACCTAGGAATGGTGACCTTTACTCCATGATACTCATCGGGGCTGCATTTTTTCACAGTGACTACCTAAAGCTCTTCGAGGGCTTACCCATTTCAATCCATGCCATGATAGATAAAACACAGAACTGTGATGATATTGCAGTGAATTTTTTAGTGGCTAATCACACTGGGAGGGCCTCGGGTGTGTTTGTAAAACCCACAGATATGAGGAACCTGGAGAAGGATGCAGAAAGTGGATACACAGGGATGTGGCATCGTTCAGAGCATCTCCTGCAGAGATCTTACTGTCTAAACAAGCTGGCTGGGATTTACGGCAAGATGCCTCTTAAATATTCTGCAATAATGATTTCACAGTTTGGTTTTCCAAACTATGCCAATCATAAATCTTAAATCTAGACAAGAAAGAATGAATACTAGTTGTTGAGCTTATTACATTACAAGTCCATATGATCAGAGTGCACTAATGTCGAGTCAATAGACGCCATTATGAGAGAATTGTGCTATTTTGAAATGTTTTGTATTAAAACCTTTAATGAGTCTCCTCGTGATTTATTTTCATTAGCCATCAACTTAAAATGATGATGATTTAAGGTCTTAAAAGGCAAAGTCAACATTAAACGCATAACATGCACACACGCAAGCTACAATGTGTAGTATGGGATTCACTTATGTGTTGTTGTTTTTTTTTTAAATTTAACTTTCTTTATTATTATTTTGTTTGCCTACTTTTTACTTTACATACTTCGAAATAAATTTTCTACCTAAGCCTTTGGTACATGAAAAGTTACCATTGTATGTAACATCATCACATATAGCTGTATTATCCTGGGAAGTTGTGGAGCAGGGTTGTTTGAAAGCTGTAGTTTTTACATTGTGGTTCATTATTAAATGTCCTGTTGGGATGTCTGCTATAGAGGTCTGTTAGTTTGTGCAAAAAGCTTGATCCAGGCTTGTGCTGCAGAATTCCATATTATATACTCAGCCTTTCTTCCAAAAGAAAGCTATGGAAGCACCGAGATAGATTCAGTCATACCATGTTTTGATAAGATATAAAATTCATGGGGGCTTACAGCAAGCGCATGTATTTATTTTTTTGCATTTCTATTGCATGTATTACATAATTGATAATGGAGGTCAAGTCCAATCTGACTTTAATGGTACTCATTTTGTGTTTTTGTATTGCAAAACTTGCCAGAATATAGATTTTTCCACATATAATTAACCTGTGCTGGGGATTAATATAACTAAGAAGCCAGTTGGACCAAGTGCAGCCAGCGTCATATAATTCTTGGTAAAATACAGTTTGTTTAGGTATTTATAGAAATCCCTCACGCCCAACTTGGTGTTAAAATGTATTGCAATGCACATTCACTAATGCCTATTACTTCAGCTCTCTGCCTAATTCCCCAAACTTGGAGCAGCAAGTTTACCGTAATATGAACTATTAGGCTCAGTCCCTTTTTGTAGTCAATGTGGATTTTATTTGGACATCTTAAGGAAGATTGGAAATATGTGAGCTGAGCACACTAGAGTCATGTTATTTCACAAATCTCATGTCCTACTGAATTAGGTATACGTTGTATTGGTAATTATATGAACATAGAACACTTGTCCAAATTACCATTCTACTTGATAAGGTTTATTGTAATATCTTCTCCAACAGGTATGTGTTAATGGCTGGTGTAGTACATGGGTACGGTTTGCATTGTTCCTACTATCAATTTTTTGCAGCATGTGTTTGCAAGTCAAGTCAAGAACATATATTAGAGAGTTGTTAACCTGTGAATCTACCTTGCAGAGTGTTTGCGAAAGGCTAATTTCGACCAATAAACAAGTGCAGTTTTTTAAAAACATATATCCCTTTTCTCATACTTTGCATAGAGCTATTGTTTATAGTGGCTTATATGAGATGTGCTACAGGTCATTTTAAGGGCTAGTGTGCTTTTTTTGTTTGTTTGCTAGTTAAATAAAAACAATAGATTTGATTTCATTTTATGTAACTAATTCCTTATTTCCATTATATTTTGCAATGACTGTACATCAATGTGGCCAAATCTGCCCAGTCTTAGCATCGTATTTTCCATGTGGTTAAAGGATGACTTTTCAGGACTTCCCAGAAGGTAAACTAGCATTATGTAAAGGAACACTGTAGGCACCATAGCCATTTCAACAAATAAAAGTTGTTATGGTGCCTGGAGTCCATGGGTACTGGATCCCGCATTACTAGTAAATGTTTTTCTCACTGTTTAGTGAGGTGCATGGTTCCCAGCAGTCTGCAGCCAGGCCTCCAATGCCAAAATGGCTAAAGTTGGACAATGACTCAATGCACGCCACCCTAGGGGAAGCAGACAGTGATTGCCTGAGTGCGCCAAATGGTATGGCTGGAGAAGAAGCATAGTGCCACCTTTGCCAAGTCATCATTGGATGCTGGCAGCAGGTTTTCAGCAACCAAGAATCTCCACTAAATGGTGAGTAAGCTGTTTACCAGGCACCATAACCACTACAATCTGTTGAAGTCGTGATGGTGCCTTATTTAATGTTAACTCTGTCTATATCCTCTACCACTCTGAAAAGGCTGAAAGACACACTCCTCCCCTTTAACTGGTCTGCAAGATATTTATACACAAACATCAAAGTAGGTTAGTGTTTTCTAAGAGAATATCTCTTCTAATAAGAAATTAAGTACGGCAATTTCTATTTTACTAATGCTAACATTTGCTATACATGCTGCATGTACCCCATTATTTGTATACGGAACAAAGTAAAGTGAGTTGACAATTGACAACTGTCACAAATTTAGTCAGCACAACAGCTCATGGTTTAATGAATAACTCCTTGAATATTTTTCATGGGCGGTTTTCCACAAACTAAGACTCTGCCCGTAAATTGTCCACAAAGAATTGCAACTTTGTAGGCCAAAAATGTTTTTAAAAAACTTCAACTAAAGGACCCTATAGGCACCCAGATCATAGTGTCCCTGTCCCCTTAATCCTGCAGTGTAAAACATTGCAGTTTTCGAGAAACTGCAACGTTTACATTGAAAGCTTAAGACTGCATCTAGTGACTGTCTACAAGACAGCCACTAGAGGCGCTTCCTGTAGTTTCACAGAGTTTGGGTCCCTGAAATGTTGCTGGACGTCTTCACGTTTTGCACAAGGACATCTGTGTCTTGCAAAACCATATCGGGAAGTATGAATTCAGTACTTTCCTATAGGGAAGACCTAGTGAGACGGAGCCAATGCTGAAGGACAACAGCGCTGGAACCGGGTAAGTGTTTTAAAGGGTCTTTACCCCTATGAATGCCAAGGTGGGAGGTGCAATGTTAGTGGGACACTATACTGTTAGGAATAAAGGTTTGCATTCCTACCACTAAAGTGTTTGTTTAATTGCAGCTCCAGTTTTTGAACAATTCTAGCCCCTCTTATATCTCCATAGAGCCATAGGTATGCCCCTTCTCGGTCTCTCTGCTCTGCCCGTGACCATCTCCTGTCGATTGTTCACACCCGTATGGCCAACTCACGCTTGCAGGACTTCTCGCGGGCGACTCCCTTCCTATGGAATAGCCTGCCTCCCGCCATCAGACTCTCCCCTAGTCTTGCATCTTTTAAGAAGTGCCTTAAAACCCATCTCTTTAGGAAAGCTTATGGTCTCCCAGAGTAACCTCTACCTTACATACCTGTCTCTTGCTCTCTCCTAAAGGGCAGCACTCTACTCTCTCCTCCAGCTCTGCCTCACTCCTACCTTATTTGATTGATATTTCCTGTCCTTTTGTGTTTTATACCCCACCTCCTATAGTATGTAAGCTCATTTGAGCAGGGTCCTCTTCAACCCATCGTTCCTGTAAGTTTTCTTGTAATTGTCCTATTTATAGTTAAATCCCTCCTCTCATAATATTGTTAAGTGCTACAGAATCTGTTGGCGCTATATAAATGGCAATAATAATAATAAAATATTCTGGACAATTCTTAGATTTATAATAAACAAGCCTTATGTATTGATGTATATGGCCAGTAGGAGGCACTGTTACCTAGCTTTCAGGGTAAAGTCTGCACCTCAATTGCTATCTTTATTCTGCAGCACTGTATATTCTTTCAAGAAACTTGGGTTTGTGGTAAAATGTTGGCCATATCCTAATCCCTGTATTTTTTTCCAGTTGTCTGAATTTTACATTACAGTTATTAACCGTTACACCACATCGCTATCAACGAGAACATTACTCTACAGAGAACTTTATCTGCTCTTTACTGTCACCTGCGAGACTTCATGGCCTTAAAAGATTCTTCCTGCACAATGACTGGACAAACTATTATTCAGTTCCCACAATTGAATTAAAGGGAAAACTTCTCTTCTCTGAAATGTACACTGTCTTGTCTTAACCCCTTCCGAACAGAGGCAATTGTACAAGTTGTAATCAAACAAAACTTGGAATTTGCACTATAATTTTGTTCAACCACAATTTACCTCTTTCATATTAAATGCACCCACATTTATTACATAACATTTTGTTCAGGAGAAACAGGGTGTTCATCTCACTTCAAATATTTAAGGATGAAACATAATTTAACATGAATAAAATCTAAACAAGTGTGAGAAATTAGGAATTTTTGTTATTTTTCAAGTTCTGTACGGCATTTTAACTGTGAATGTCATAATACTGTTAGCTTTTATTGCAATTAAATACGCATATCTGTTTTCAGAGATATCTCACGATTCCAACACTAACTGCCATGTAAAGGTTTTAAGGGGTTTTGGAAAGTTACAGGGTCAAATATAGGACTTTTCGCTTTTTTTTTTTTTTTTTTACACATAAAATTTTCCAGATTTGTTTGCTTGGTGTATGTTGCATTTATGGCAACCCAGTAATGAGAATTACACCCATCATAGCATACTATTTGCAAAAGTAGACAACCCAGGGTATTCAAAATGAATCCAGTCAAAATGAGCCCGCTAATATTTGTGTTCAGTGATGTCGTCAGAGTACAACAGTACCCCTCATTTACAGGTGTTTTGGAAAGTTAAATGTAAAGCTTGCAAATTAAACTGTCTAGGCTTTGTGTATGAGTTGACAGGCAGGTCCCTTAAATTGTTATTAATAAAATCATATAAATATGGAGGTTCTCAGGTGGATGAGACACATGTAGGGGCTTGGGGGGAAGGGGAGTTAGACACACGGAGGCCTTGGGGGAATGAGACACATGGAGGGGCTAGGGGTGAAGGAATGAGACACATGGAGGGGTGGGCGGGGGAAGAAAGAGACACGGGGGGGCAGGGCAATTTTCTGGTAGTTTCTAGGTACGTCTCTGCATTCATTTATATAGACACATACATACACAGACGCACAAATTGATATACATACACACAGACTCATACGCAAACACATTCTTACATAG